TGTATACCGTTCTTTATGTGCATTTTCCCGCCACCCACCTATGGTTTGGATCCAAGCACCAGATCGCTAGGGTCCAAGCAACAGTACGCACTGTAGCCAAGGCTCGTAACTGTGCATAGGCTGAGAATAAGGGTGTACCGTCATTGTTCACGAAACAGTGAAAGCAGACTGCCAAAGAGGCTGGTGGGGTGGAAGAAACACGGAATCAACAGACTGAAAACCCTTTATTGAGTTTGAAGGAAGGAAGCATTTTTTTTAATCTGCATGCTGATTCCAATAGATATATTCATTCGTATGTGTTCTATTTCTGGGCATCTTGTAGTAGAAAGTGCATCACTTTTATATTCTTGTCGACCGACATAGCTCCTTCAACATCCACCAGTCAACCAGGTATCCTCACATCCTTAATCCATTACATTGCCTTGCTACATTTATTATAATCCAAGTCCCTACATTGCTCGTCATCTAACTTTCCCAATCGTCGTATAGCAAGGATCCACAAAACTAGATAAGTGGTACTGTGCTATGTGCTACAGATTCAAAAGGACGGAAATTCTCAGAAGTACCCGAAACAAAGAGAGGGACTTACAGGTAGGGGAAGGGGAGGGATGCACTCATATAATAATGTAAAACTGCTTATGACGTGTACTTTTCATTTTAATCCCTGCAGGTATCTCCGTACAGCAATTTCCCTCGAGGATTTGTCAAAACTGTAAATTTCTTACAGTGTGTACATACAACCAATTCAATACAACAAACACTCGTCCCGTCACATTTCTTGCTTGTAAGCCATGCGAAGTTAGACACAAGCGGTGTTTTTTCGAAGCCCAGACCATAATCAGGTATTGATAAGTTTGAAATAGTGTTTCTAATCACGCTCTCCCCCCGTTTTTATATTAGGACAGACATTGCAAAGGCTCTGTAAAGAACAAATGTAAGGAAAATCACTTTTCCTTACTTTGCATCCCTGCTCAACGCGTACATCACTATAGCACCACAGTCAGCACCGTTACCACTCGCGACCCTTGCATCGACAATCAGCCCGCCAATTTCGCACATCGCACACCAACCTCACGGCTCGGCTGGTAACCCGCGCTCCGGGCCTCCGCTTCGACACTTTCCCAAACCTCAGTCCCAGGCCCATCACGCGACTGTCAGAACATTATAGCTTATGCTGTTGTGTAGGCTATAGTGGGGTATCCCATAGAGGGTACAACCCAATTAGGGTTTCATATTTGTACCCACCTCATTCATAGTTCATTCATTCTCGTTCTACTTCTGTCATGGTATCGAGCAGGTTCCCCTGTGGGAACTGTGCCTAGGGCCCACCACATCGATTTTTTTTTTCCTGCCCGAAGCGCACTCGCCCCGAGTCGCGCTAGGGGCCCTCTCTCTTTTTGTCGAGCTGCCCTAGAGGCCCTGCCGCCCGTCGATTAGTCACGGCCCCGCCCTTAGTCGCGGCCCTGTCCTTCGTCGCGGCCCCGCCTCTCTCGTCGCGGCCCCGCCCTCTGGCGCGGCCCCGCCTCTCTCGTCGCGGCCCCGCCTCTCTCGTCGCGGCCCCGCCTCTCTCGTTGTGGCCCCGCCTTACTTCGCGGCCCCGCCCTTCGTCGCGGCCCCGCTACCCCTCGTCGCGGCCCCGCCGCCTCTCTCGATGCGGCCCTGCCGCCCTTCGTCGCGGCCCCCGCCGCCTCTGTCGTCGCGGCCCTGCCGCCCCTCGTTGCGGCCTCTGCCGCCCTTTGTCGCGGCCCCGCCACCCTGCTTTACGGCCCCGCCGCCTCTCTTGACGCGGCCCCGCCGCCCTTCTTGGCGGCCCTGCCGCCCTTCGTCGCGGCCTCTGCCGCCCTTCGTCGCGGCTCTGTCGCCCTTCGTTGCGGCCCTGCCGCCATTCTCCACTGCGGCCCCGCCGCTCTGCACCGCCCGCTCCGCCCGAGTCACCTGAGCCGCCCGAGCCGCCCGTGCCACCTGCGCCACTCGAGCCGCCCGAGCCGCCTAAGCTGCCCGAGCCGCCTGTGCCGGTGAGTACCCAAGCCGCTGAGCCGCCTGAGCCGCTGAGGAGCCGAGCCGCCCGAACCGCCCGAGCCGCCCGAGCCGCCCGAGCCGCTGAGGAGCCGAGCCGCTGGTCCCGCGGAGCTGCTGTTGCTGCTGGGCCGGCCGAGCAGCAGGGTTGCCGTGTTGCTGTGCTGCTGAACTGACCGAACCGCCCTGTCTGGTGAGAACGGCACCTCTGTCACTGCACTGCCTCTGTCCTACAGTCACTACTGCTAGTCTACTGCTGTCATGGCTACCCCTAGTGTCCTAGCATTTGACGCTGAGGGTCGCGCAATTGACTTTGAGGTCTGGGTCGACGACCTGCAGCTGTTCTTACAGTGCGATAGGGCAGACGGTCTTTCTCTCTTTGACCTCACCTCTGGCGTCGTCCCTGCCCCTGCTACTAATGCTGACCCCATTGTTCGCTCCCAGTGGGCCCCGCGCGATGCCGCTGCACGTCTTGCTGTGCGTCGCCACCTGCCTACTGCTGAGCGTGTCAGAACTTATAGCTTACTTGTTTCTGTAGGCTATAGTGGGGTATCCCATAGGGGGTACAACCCAATTAGGGTTTCCTATTTGTACTCACTTCGTTCATAGTCATTTCATTCTCGTTCTTTGTTTTCACATGGAATCAGAGCAGGTTCCCTCCTAGGGACTGCTTCTAGGGCCCACCGAACCGCGCCCCGAGGCGCGTTTTTTTTTAGCGACCCGTCGTGTCGCCCCTAGCGGACCGTTGCGCCGCCCTTCCCCTCGCGGCTCCGCCGCCCTTCCCTAGCGGCCCCGCCGCCCTTCGATCGCGGCCCCGCCGCCCTCTGCTACGCGGCCCCGCCGCCGCCCTTCGATCGCGGCCCCGCCGCCCTCGGCTACGCGGCCCCGCCGCCCTCTGCCTCGCGGCCCCGCCGCCCTCTGCTACGCGGCCCCGCCGCCCTCTGCTACGCGGCCCCGCCGCCCTCTGCTACGCGGCCCCGCCGCCCTTCGATCGCGGCCCCGCCGCCCTTTGCCACGCGGCCCCGCCGCCCTCTACTACGCGGCCCCGCCGCCCTCTGCTACGCGGCCCCGCCGCCCTTCGATCGCGGCCCCGCCGCCCTCTGCTACGCGGCCTCGCCGCCCTCTGCTACGCGGCCCCGCCGCCCCCTGCTACGCGGCCCCGCCGCTCTCTTCGGTCGCGGCCCCGCTGCCCTCTGCTAAGCAGCCGCCGCCGCCTGAGCCGCCGCCGAGCCGCCGCCGAGCCGTCGCCGAGCCGCCGCCGAGCCGCCGCCGAGCCGCCGCCCGAGCCGCCGCCGAGCCGCCAGAGCCGCCGCCGAGCCGCCCGTGACGCCCGAGCCGCCCGCGCCGCCCAGCAGCAACCGAGCCACCGCCAACCGCCGCCGCCTGAGCCGCCGCCGAGCCGCCGCCGAGCCGCCGCCGAGCCGCCGCCGAGCCGCCGCCGAGACGCCGCCCGAGCCGCCGCCGAGCCGCCCGTGCCGCCCGAGCCGCCCGCGCCGCCCGAGCCGCCTGCGGAGCCGTGCTGCTGTTCCTCTGCTGCTGACCTACCCGCCTCTCCCAGCCCGGTGAGATTTTCAGCTGCTGTCATGGCCACCCCCAATGTTCTTACCTTTGACGCTGAGGGGAGGGCCATTGACTTTGCAGTCTGGATTGAAGACCTGCAGCTGTACTTACTGTGTGATGCGATAGATGAGGTCTCTCTCTTTGACTTTGTCTCTGGCGCTGTCCCTGCCCCACCTGCTGATGCTGACTCTGCCGTTCGCTCCAAGTGGGCGACCCGCGATGCTGCTGCACGTCTTGCTGTGCGTCGCCACCTCCCTTCCTCTGAGCGTGCCCACTTTAGTCAGTGCAAGACCGCTCAGGCCTTGTACGACGCTGTAGTTGCACGCTACTCCTCCCCTTCCTCCGCTACCCTTAGCCGCCTCATGCTACCGTTTCTCTTCCCTGACCTCGCTTCCTTTCCCACTGTCGCTGACCTCGTTACCCACCTCCGTGCTAGTGACACCCGCTACCGCGCTGCCCTTCCTGCTGAGTTCCGCGCTGCGAACCCTCCTCCCATGTACATCACTCTCTACTTTCTCGTCACCCGTCTCCCTGAGTCCCTTCGTGTCGTTAGGGACCAGTTTCTCTCTGTCTGTCCCACCACTCTCACTGTCGACCTCCTTGAGGAGTCCCTGCTAGCGGCTGAGAAGAGTATTGTCGTTGTAGGGGCCTCTTGGGGTGACCCTCGCACCCCCATCTTTGAGGGGTGTGGTCCTTCCCCCCTGCTGCCCTCTGTCGCCTCTGCCGCTGCGGCCGACCTCACTGGTTTTGAGTCGGTCGGCGCGGCGTCTGCCCCCAGCGGCAGACGCCGCGCTGGCAAGGGCAAGGGGGGCAAGGGAGCGGGTGGAGCTAGAGGAGGCGGTGGAGGAGGCGGTGGGGGTGGCGGGGGGAGTGGGGGTGGCGGTGGGGGTGGTGGCGGGAGTGGAGGTACTGGTGGCGGCGGTGGAGGCGGAGGTGGCGGCGGAGGTGGTAGCGGAGGAGGCGGTGGGAGCGGTGGGAGCGACGGTCCTGGTGGGGGAGGTGGAGGTGGAGACGGGGGTGGCGGTGGAGGCGGGGGTGGCAGTGGAGGCGGGGGTCGGAGTGGCTCGTCCCAGCGGAGCAGCTCCGGGGGTGGTCAGCGCCAGCAGCAGCAGCAGCAGCAGCCGCAGCAGCAGCCACAGCAGCAGCAGCGCTCTCGCACCGTCCCCGCCCCTCAGCAGCTCCGTGAGTGGTACTCGCAGCGTCAGCGTGGTGGTGCGCTTGGTCCTTGCCCCTACGTTCTCCGCACCGGTGACCGTGCAGGGGAGAGGTGTGGAGGCGCCCACACTGCCCGCCGCTGCTTTGGCCGCCTGACTGACGCCTGGCGTCAGCAGTTTCCGGAGGCAGCTGAGATCCCCCGCTGGGGAGAGCTGTCTAGGGCTGGTGTAGCTATTTATGATCTTGATTTTGATGCTATTCTCTCTGCTATGTATGCTGCGATTGGTAGTGATGAGGATGACTGTTACCGGTGTTTCCCGCCCGACCCGGGCATTGGTACTGCCGCGTCAGGTACTAGTGAGGCTGCTGCTCTAGGTGCCAGTGCGTCTGTGCTCTCAGGTGCTGGTGAGTCTGCCCTCTCAGGTACTGTGTCGGCTTCGGCCTCTCACACCTTCACCCTTGACTCTGGAGCGTCTCGCTCCTTCTTTCGGGACCGCACCACTCTCACGCCGCTTAGTCGGCCGGTTGCGGTGTCCCTGGCTGACCCCTCTGGGGGGCCTGTCCTGTCTCGCTTCTCCACTGTCCTCCCGTGTCCGGCAGCCCCCTCTGGCACCCTGACTGGTCTTTACCTCCCCTCGTTCTCGACGAACTTGGTGAGTGGTGCTGACCTCCAGGATGCGGGTGTCCACCAGTTCACCCCTGCTCGTCAGCGGGTGACCCACTGCACGGAGGCGGATACAGGTCGCCACCTGGCTACGTTTACACGTCGGCCAGGGTCGAGCCTGTACACTCTGACCACTGCTTCTCCTCCAGGTGCTGAGTCTGGTAGGGTCACTTCGTCTGGTCAGGTGTTTGCTGCAGCGTCCAGGTCTGGTCCTGAGTCTGCCCCCTGCTCGTGCCGTCGTTTGTCTCACGAGACCCTCCTCTGGCACCACCGCCTTGGCCACCCCTCTCTGCTTCGGCTCAGGGGCATGGCCTCGCGAGTCCTTGTGTCTGGTCTTCCCCGGTCTCTCCCTCCCCTTCCTCTGGGCCCTGGCCCCACCTGTGTCCCCTGTGTCGAGGGGCGCCAGCGTGCTGCCCCTCACTCCTCCCAGTTTCCTCCGACAGAGGCCCCGTTGCAGACGCTTCACATGGATGTGTGGGGCCCAGCCCGCGTCCGTGGACAGGGTCAGGAGCGCTACTTCCTGCTGGTGGTTGACGACTACTCGCGTTACACCACAGTCTTCCCCTTGCGCAGCAAGGGTGAGGTCACTGCGGTGTTGATCGACTGGATCCGCGCAGCTCGTCTCCAGCTTCGGAGGAGCTTTGGCTCTGACTTCCCTGTTTTGCGTCTGCACTCGGACAGAGGCGGAGAGTTCTCCTCTGGCCTCCTGAGTGCCTACTGTCGTGCGCGAGGCATCCGTCAGACCTTCACGCTTCCGGACTCACCGCAGCAGAATGGGATTGCTGAGCGCCGCATTGGCATGGTCATGGACGTCGCTCGTACGTCCATGATGCATGCGGCTGCTCCCCATTTTCTGTGGCCGTTTGCGGTCAGGTACGCTGCGCACCAGATCAACCTCCACCCCAGGGTCTCTCGACCGGAGACCTCCCCAGCCCTGCTGTGGACGGGGAAGGTTGGCGATGCGTCGGCGTTCCGGGTCTGGGGATCTCGGGCGTTTGTTCGCGACCTGTCTGCGGACAAGCTATCCCCTCGTGCTTCTCCCTGCGTCTTCCTGGGGTTCCCCCCCGACGCCCCTGGGTGGCAGTTTTACCACCCCACCTCTCGACGTGTTCTGTCCTCCCAGGACGTCACGTTCGACGAGTCGGTACCCTACTACCGCCTCTTCCCCTACCGCACTCCGTCCCTCCCCCCACCCCCGCTCTTCTTGGTACCAGGTCCCCCCCCGGTAGTCCCCCTCCCCCCTCAGGGTCCTGACCCTTCAGGTGTGTCCCAGGTAGACGCGGTCGAGCCTGTCGAGGTCACTGGTGACTCTGGTGCTGCTGCGGGAGCTGAGCCTGGGGGTGCGGAGTCTGGGGGTGCTGAGCCTGGAGGTGCCGAGTCTGGGGGTGCTGAGCCTGGGGGTGCTGAGCCTGGGGGTGCTGTGCCTGGGGGTGCTGAGTCTGGAGGTGCCGAGTCTGGGGGTGCTGTGCCTGGGGGTGCTGAGCCTGGGGGTGCTGAGCCTGGGGGTGCTGAGCCTGGGGGTGACGTGCCTGGGGGTGCTGTGTCTAGGGGTGCTGAGCCTGGAGGTGCTGTGCCTGGGGGTGCTTCGTCTCGCCGGGAGCCACTCTCCCCACAGGAGCTGCGTGAGTGGTTTGCCGGGCGCTGGAGGCGTGCTGCTGGTGCTGGTGGTTCTTCGGCTGCAGAGGGTCCTGATGCTGCGCGCCCCGCCGGCGCTCGTACTGTGGGTGCTGGAGCTGCTGAGTCTGAGAGTTCTCCTGGAGCTGGTCCTGCTGAGGGTGTTGGCGCTGAGCCTGCCGTTGGCGGCCCGACTGACAGTGCTCCTGGTGCTGCGGCTGGAGGTTTTGGAGCTTCTGGTGGTGCTGCTGGAGGTGCTACTGGAGTGGGTGCTCCTGCCGGGGCTGCTGGTGCTGTTCCTGCTGTTTCTAGCGTCGCCGCGCGGCCCCGACCGTACTTCCGCTCCTGCAGCAGGTTCTTGGTCTTACACCTCCTCCTCCTCCCTTAGAGGGTCCGCAGCCTGTCCGGTCACAGCCACAGCTACAGCCTGCCTCCCCTTTGCCTGCTCCTTCTCCCTACGCTGGTCCGACTGGAGGACTTACTGAGCGTCGTGAGCCTGCGTCTCGTCCTGTGTCGCCTGTTCGTACTGAGCGCGCTAGTGGTCGCGGGTCGCGTCAGCGTCCTCCTCCTGTCCCTGGCACGCACCGGATGTCACTGCGTCCGTCCACTGCTCCTCTGCGTGCCCCTTTGCCTTCTCCTCCTGCTTCCTCTCTTCCTGCTCTTGCCGACCCGGAGTCGGACTCCCTTCGTGCTGCCAGTCCTACTGTCACGCGTCTCCTGGCTACTGCTGTCACTGACCCCTCCTTTGAGTCGTCTGCTGCGTCTGCCCTTGTCACTGAGCTTGTCGACTTTGCTGCGCGCTGTCGTCTAGACTACGCTGCTCGTCTTGTCACTGAGTCTGAGTCCGCCTGTCCTCCGTCCGTCGGGGGTGAGTGTGCCCTTGGCACGGACGTCCTTGAGGACAGGCAGGAGGAGTTCCAGTGTCTGGCCGCCGCCTCACCTCGTCTCGCGTCTGTACTGCTAGCCCCTGAGGGAGACCCGGATGCACCAGACATCCCGACTCCGCGCTCTTACGCGGAGGCGATAGAGGGTCCCTACTCCTCTCAGTGGCAGGCAGCTATGGATGCAGAGATGGCTTCCTGGAAGTCCACAGGCACCTACGTTGACGCGGTTCCCCCTCCTGGGGCGAACATCGTCAGTGGGATGTGGATCTTCAGGGTGAAGCGGCCGCCGGGCTCTCCACCTGTCTTCAAGGCGCGGTACGTGGCTCGTGGCTTCAGTCAGCGGCAGGGGGTTGACTACTTTCAGACCTTCTCCCCCACCCCGAAGATGACCACTCTTCGGGTTCTGCTACACGTTGCTGCTCACCGTGACTACGAGCTGCACTCTCTCGACTTCAGCACAGCTTTCTTGCAGGGCAGCCTGCACGAGGAGATCTGGCTGCGTCGCCCACCTGGCTTCACTGGGTCTTTCCCTCCTGGTACCCAGTGGAGTCTCCGGCGTCCAGTCTACGGTCTCCGCCAGGCGCCACGTGAGTGGCACGACACACTGAGGACTACGCTCGCGGCACTTGGGTTTGCTCCTTCCACTGCCGACCCGTCGCTGTTTCTGCGCACCGACACCTCTCTGCCGCCGTTCTACATCCTCGTGTACGTCGACGACTTGGTCTTTGCCACAGCTGACACTGCTGGACTCGCCTACGTGAAGTCCGAGCTGCAGAAGAGACACACGTGCACTGACCTGGGTGAACTGCGCAGCTACCTTGGCTTGCAGATCACCCGGGACAGAGCACGCCACACCATTACCCTGACTCAGTCACACATGGTGCAGCAGGTCCTTCAGCGCTTCGGCTTCACGTACTCCTCGCCTCAGGCCACTCCTCTGCCTACTCGCCACTCGCTCTCAGCTCTGCCTTCGGATGAGTCCGTAGAGTCGAGTGGCCCGTTTGCAGAGCTTGTTGGCTGCCTCATGTACCTGATGACCTGCACACGACCTGACCTCGCATACCCTCTTAGCATTCTCGCACGCTTTGTTGCTCCTGGGAGACACCGACCAGAGCACATGGCTGCAGCGAAGAGGGTGTTGCGCTACTTGTGCAGTACGTCGGGCATGGGGCTAGTGCTTGGAGGGCGCAGTCCAGTGGTCCTCACTGGGCACGCAGACGCTTCTTGGGCTGACGACCAGGCTACGCAGCGGTCGTCACAGGGTTACACCTTCAGCCTTGGTTCCGGCTCTGTCTCGTGGCGGGCTACCCGCTCGTCTTCTGTTCTCGGCTCCAGTTGTGAGGCTGAGATCTACGCTGGGGCTATGGCTGCACAGGAGTTACGCTGGCTCACCTATCTGCTGACCGACCTTGGAGAGCAGCCTCGTAATCCTCCAGTCCTGTACGTAGACAACAAGGCCATGCTGGCCTTGTGTCGAGAGCAGAGACTGGAGCACAGAACGAAGCACATTGCTCTTCGTTACTTTCTTGCTCGTGAGCTACAGCAGCGTGGACAGCTGCGACTTGCGTACGTGGCCTCTGAGGCCAACACTGCTGATGTCTTCACCAAGGCACTTGCGCCTTGTGATCATCAGCGTTGCTGCACGCAGTTGGGTCTTGTGCCTGTCTTGCCTCACTTGCTCTCCTCTTGACCTTGCTTGTACTTTCGCATATATATACTCTTGTTCTTGTATATCTCTATATATGATCTTGCATGTGAACTGGCCTTGTGGCCTTTGAACTTGTGCTCGGAATGTGTGGTGACTTTGTGATCCACCCTGAGCTTTGCTTTGCTTTGCTTGACTGGTCTTGTGACCCCTTGTTCTCCCCCACTTTGCCTATGGGGGTGTGTCAGAACTTATAGCTTACTTGTTTCTGTAGGCTATAGTGGGGTATCCCATAGGGGGTACAACCCAATTAGGGTTTCCTATTTGTACTCACTTCGTTCATAGTCATTTCATTCTCGTTCTTTGTTTTCACAGAGCGCGCGCAATTTAGTCAGTACAAGAGTGCTCAGACCTTGTACGACGCTGTAGTTGCGCGCTACTCTTCCCCTGCCGCTGCTGCACTAAGCCGCCTCATGCTACCCTTCCTCTTCCCTGACCTTGCTGCCTTTCCCATAGTCACTGACCTCATTACGCACCTCCGCACTAGTGACACCCGCTACCGCGCCGCGCTTCCTGCTGAGTTTTGTGCCAAGAACCCCCCCCCCCATGTACATCACTCTCTACTTTCTAGTCACCCGCCTCCCTGACTCCCTTCGTGTAGTCAGGGACCACTTCCTCTTGGTCTGTCCCACCACTCTCACTATCGACCTCTTAGAGAAGGCCCTCCTAGCAGCAGAGAAGAGCATCGTCGCTGTAGGAGCCTCTCGTGGTGACCCTCGCACCCCCATCTTTGAGGGGTGTTCTCCTTCCCCTCTCTTGCCCTCTGTCGCCTCTGCCGCTGCGGCCGACCTCGTTGGTGTTGAGTCGGTCGGTGCGGCGTCTGCCCCTAGCGGGAGACGCCGCCCTGGCAAGGGCAAGGGGGGCAAGGGCGCGGGTGGAGCTAGCGAGGGCGGTGGAGGTGGAGGCGGCGGAGGGAGTGGGGGTGGCGGTGGGAGTGGTGGCGGGGGTGGAGGTGCTGGTGGCGGCAGTGGAGGCGGAGGCAGCGGAGGCGGCGGCGGTACTGGCGGGGGCGGCGGTGGTGGCGGAGGTGGAGGAGGCGGAGGTGGAGGTGGTGGAGGTGGTCCGAGTGGCGCTTCGCAGCGGAGCAGCACTGGGGGTGGTCAGCGCCTGCAGCAGCAGCAGCAGCAGCAGCAGCGTTCTCGCGACGTCCCCACCCCTCAGCAGCTCCGTGAGTGGTACACGCAGCGTCAGCGTGGTGGGGGTCTTGGTCCCTGCACCTACGTCCTTCGCACCGGCGACCGCGCGGGTGAGCAGTGTGGGGGTGCCCACCCCACCCAGCGCTGCTTTGGCCGCCTGACGGACGCTTGGCGTCAGCAGTTCCCGGAGGCCATTGAGATCCCCCGCTGGGGAGAGCTGTCTAGGGCGGGCGTAGCTATCTATGATCTTGACTTTGATGCTATCCTTGCTGCCATGTATGCTGTGACTACTAGTGTTGAGGGTGACTATTACCGGTGTTTCCCGCCCGACCCAGGCATTGGTACTGCTGCTCTAGGTGCCGATGCGTCTGTGCTCTCAGGTACTGGTGAGTCTGCGCTCTCAGGTACTGGTGAGTCTGCGCTCTCAGGTACTACGTCGGCTTCGGCCTCCCTCACCTTCACCCTTGACGCTGGGGCGTCTCGCTCCTTCTTTCGGGACTGCACCACACTCACGCCGCTTAGTCGGCCGGTTGCGGTGTCCCTGGCTGACCCCTCTGGGGGTCCTGTCCTGTCTCGCTTCTCCACAGTCCTCCCGTGTCCGGCGGCTCCCTCTGGCACCCCGTCTAGTCTCTACCTCCCCTCGTTCTCTACGAACTTGGTGAGTGGTGCTGACCTACAGGATGGGGGAGTGCACCAGTTCACTCCTGCGCGTCAGCGAGTGACGCACTGCACAGAGGCTCTCACAGGCCGACACTTGGCTACGTTTACACGTCATCCGGGGTCGAGCCTGTACACACTGACCACTGCGTCTCCTCCCGTTGCTCTGTCTGGTAGGGTAGGTGCGTCGGGTCAGGTGTTTGCTGCAGCGTCCAGGTCTGGTCCTGAGTCTGCCCCCTGTTTGTGTCGTCTCCTGTCTCACGAGACTCTCCTCTGGCACCACCGCCTTGGTCACCCCTCTCTGCTTTGGCTCAGAGGCATGACCTCCCGTCTCCTTGTGTCTGGTCTCCCCCGGTCCCTCCCACCCCTTCCTCAGGGCCCTGGCCCTGCCTGTGTTCCCTGTGTCGAGGGGCGCCAGCGTGCTGCCCCTCACTCCTCCCAGTTTCCTCAGACAGAGGCCCCGTTGCAGACGCTTCACATGGATGTGTGGGGCCCAGCCCGCGTCCGTGGACAGGGTCACGAGCGCTACTTCCTGCTCGTTGTTGACGACTACTCGCGTTACACCACAGCCTTCCCCTTGCGCAGCAAGGGTGATGTCACTGCGGTGCTGATCGACAGGATCCGCGCAGCTCGTCTCCAGCTCAGGCAGAGCTTTGGCTCGGACTTTCCTGTTCTGCGTCTGCACTCGGACAGAGGCGGAGAGTTCTCCTCTGGCCTTCTGCGAGCCTACTGTCGAGCACGAGGCATTCGTCAGACCTTCACGCTTCCGGACTCACCGCAGAAAAATGGGATTGCTGAGCGCCGCATTGGCATGGTCATGGACGTCGCTCGTACGTCTATGATGCATGCGGCTGCCCCCCATTTTCTGTGGCCGTTTGCGGTCAGGTACGCGGCGCATCAGGTCAACCTTCACCCCAGGGTCTCCAGGCCGGAGACCTCCCCAGCCCTGCTGTGGACGGGGAAGGTTGGCGATGCGTCGGCATTCTGGGTCTGGGGATCTCGGGCG